ACAAGAGATCACACATGATGATGGTGGTGGTGATGATGATAAAAAAGCAGAGACTACGTCTATAGCCAAACCAGGTACTTCTGGTTCCTTAAGGTAGTTTTCCTTGAATTATCTCGTTTGGCTATATTACAAACCACACTGGATAATAGCAAACTGCTAAAACCCCAATGTCCTTTATATTCAGGTTATTTGAAAATGCAATATAGATGGTGGGCAGGAAATGAAAAAGAAACAAATACGTTTGTTATGTATTATCAAGTGCACTAACTTCACACTGCCTAGTCAGTAAGTTCAAAACACCAGCCAGCTTTTGAGGCACTGTGACTTAGTAGGAATCATATTGAGGAGTTCTGGCTCCTTCCCTGACTAGCAATGAAACACTGGGCAATCACTTCATTTTTCTGAAACTCCATTCATCTGAAAAATGGGGTAATAGCAAATAGTTGTTGTAAATACTGTATGCTGTTTCACTTAAAGTACATACAATACAGGCATTGCTCAATTAATGTTAACTTCTTTCCTCTTCCACTTTATTTGTGGATCTCAGTAATAGCCAACCAGGGGTGCCTGGGTGGCTCAGTTGGTTGAGCGTCAGTCTTCATCTCGGCTCAAGTCACGATCTCATGGTTTGTGAGATCGAGACCCATATCGGGATCTACGCTGACAGTGTGGAGACTGCTTGGGATTCTCTTTCTCCCTCTCTCTGCCCCTCCCCTAATTGTGCTCTCTCGCTCTCAAAATAAATAAAGTTTAAAAAAATGAGTAATAGCCAAACAAAGATACCAGGTCCCACTTTCTGGACCTGTAAATGTTACTTTAAATGGCAGTTTTTGCCATCAAAAAGAATGAAATCTTGCCATTTGCAACAACATGGATGGAGCTAGAGTGTATTATAAACAAAATAAGTCAGTAAGACACAAATACCATACGATTTCACTCATGTGGAATTTAAGAAACAAAACAGATGAACATAGGAGAAGGGAAAAAAAAAAGAGAGAGAGAGAGGGAAGCAAACCGTAAGAGACTCTTAACTATACAGAACAAACTGAGGGTTGCTGGAGGAAAGGTGGGGAGGGGAGGGGCTGAACTGGTGATGGGTATTAAGGGCACTTGTAGTGATAAGCACTGGGTGTTTAAGTGATGAATCACTGAATTCTGCTGAAGCCAACATTACATTATATGTTAACTAACTAGAATTTAAAATGAAAACTTAAAATATTTGAGGGGTGCCTGGGTAGCTCAGTTGGTTAAGGGTCCAACTTCAACACAGGTCATGATCTCGTGGTCTGTGAGTTTGAGCCTGGCATCAGGCTCTCTCCTGACAGCTCAGAGCCTGGAGCCTGGTTCGAATTCTGTGTCTCCCCATCTCTCTGCCCCTCCCCTGCTCATGCTCTGTCTCCCTCTCTCTGTCTCAAAAATAAATAAACATTATGGGGCAGCTGGGTGACTCATTCAGCTAAGCATCAGACTTTGCCTCAGGTCATGATCTCACGTGTTCGTTGGTTCAAGCCCTGCATCGGGCTCTGTGCTGACAGCTCAGAGCCTGAAGCCTGCTTCAGATTCTATGTCTCCCTTTCTCTCTGCTCCTCCCCCACTCACACTCTTGTGTCTCTCTCTCTCTCAAAAATAAACATTAAATTAAAAACAATAAACATTAGGGGCGCCTGGGTGGCTCAGTCGGTTAAGCAGCCAACTTCAGCTCAGGTCATGATCTCACGGTCCGTGAGTTCGAGCCCCGCGTCGGGCTCTGTGCTGACAGCTCAGAGCCTGGAGCCTGTTTCAGATTCTGTGTCTCCCTCTCTCTGACCCTCCCCCGTTCATGCTCTGTCTCTCTCTGTCTCAAAAATAAGTGCTAAAAAAAATTTTTTTTAAATAAAAACAATAAACATTAAAAATTATTTTAATTAAAAAAACATTAGAAACAAAAATACACTTTAAAAATATAAAATACAGGGGTGCCTGGGTGGCTCAGTCAGTTAAGCATCAGACTTCGGCTCAGGTCATAATCTCACAGTTCGTGAGTTCGAGCCCCATGTCAGGCTCTGTGCTGACAGCTCAGAGCCTGGAGCCTGCTTCAGATTCTGTGTCTCCCTCTCTCTCTGCCCCTCCCCTGCTCATGCTCTATTTCTCTCTCTCTCTCTCCCTCAAAAGCAAATATTAAAAAAAATACAAATCTGAGAATTACATTTTTTTTAAAAGGCAGTTTTTACTGGTGTCATTTGGATTATCTGGGTGGGTCCTAAATGCCACAAGAGAAGCCAATGGAGATTAGACACACAGAGGTAAGACAGAAGCAGAGATTGGAGTGATGTGGCTACAAGCTAAGGAATGCTGGCAGCCACCAAAAGCTGGAAGAGACAAGGCACAGACTCGTCCCAGAGTCTCCCCAGGGAGTACAGCCTTTCCAACACCCTGACTCCAACCCAAGAAAACAGATTTCAGACTTCTGGCCTCCAAAACTCAGTTTCTTTTGTTTTATGCCACTAAATTTGTGGTATTTTGTCACAGCGATAGGAAACTAATACACTAACCATAACTAATTCAAAGGCGGTTACTCAGCTGGAGAAGGCTTTCTGATAACGGCACTGGGGTCAGGGACCATGGATGCAAACTACTTGATAATTAAGTACACAAAGATGAAAATGACTAATCACTAAGGCTTTCACCACATCTCAAACCTGAAAACACCTCAGAGGAGCCAGCTCATTCAGGTACATGACAGAAAATATCCATTTTCCAATGGCGTTTCAGAGGGTTGAGGGACCTAAGAGCCAGGTCCTCTGCCTCCTGGGTATGCCATATTGAGACTATCTGTACTACACGTCTTACTGTTCTAGCTCAATCTATGCTTTCCCTCACTGTGTGAAGTCAGGCACAGGCCTCCTGATCTTGTTCCTGATACGCTCTTCCATCTCTAAGGAGTCCATCACTCTCCTCAAATAACCCGTCTTCTGGTACTGACCTTAACTCGGATCTCTATAGGGGAATACTGGGATAGCTAGGACACAGGTGCACTCTGAAACCAGACTGACTGCCCATGTCTGAAGCCCTACTCTGCTACCTCTGTGTCCTTGGGTGGCCTAATCAGTCTTTTCCTCAACTGCAACATGGAGCTAATTACAACACCCACTTGAGAGAATCGTTTAAGTGTGTGCAGTGACTAGGAAAGTGCCTGGCATAGGATGAGTGCCAAGGGTCTTATTGCTGTGATATCATTTACTTAAGGGCAGCTGTGGCTCACACGGCAGCATGTGAAACCAAGTCCCAAAGCCTGTTTACTCTCACCAGTTTTATTCTGAGTGACTTTTAAATTATCTGCTCTCAAAATGATCCCCCTAGAAATAACTGAAATGCCTAGCAACAGTAGGCAATAATCGTGGTATGTTCAAGTAACAGAAAACCATGCAGCATTGAGAATGGATCTATACTGATGACTCCATTCATGTAAAAAATTGTGATGGTAGAAATCAGAAAAGAGGTTACTATGAGAGAGAAGTAATGACTAGAATGGGGTGCAAGGAGACATCAGGTCCTGGTATGTACTTTCCTGATTATAAGGCTATGCTCTTTATAACATTTTAAGTTGTACAACTATGATTTGTGCATTTTCCTGTATGTATATTATACCTCAATTCTTAAGTTAAGCGATCCCCCAGCCTATTACCCACTGGTCAGTGCAAGGACATGATACAACTGCTCATTAAACTGCTGGCAAATAAGGAAGAGATGGTGAAGCCACCAGGTGCTGGATTTCAGGGAACAGGTAGTCTGGAATATGGCAGGGTGACTGCCACGATGGTTGGCAGCAAAAGGGCACTAGACAAAAGAGAGTGCAGACTACATTCATCATCTAAAGGGCCAGCTCTTTGTTTTCTTACTGAGACACCTCAGCACCCCTTCATATGAGAACCAGAGCTTTTCCTTGGCACACTAACCAGATCAAAGGGCAAGGTGGGCATGCTCTTCTAGACAAATTGGTAAATGCCACACTATTAAAGCTACAATAGCCTGGCATTTACCAGTTTAATCCCTAGAATAGCGTCCATTCCAAATAAAAACTGAGCAAACAAAATGACAGCTTTAAGAGTGGAAGCTTTTGGCTTTATAGTTAAGATTTATCTTGAGAATGGATTCATTGATGCAGACATAATTTTGTAGTAACATTGAAACTTGTCACAGAGCTTAAATAACTAAAAAAAACTTTAAGTTTTTATTTATTTTGAGAAGCAAAGCAGGGGAGGGACAGAGAGGGAGAGAGAGAATTCCAAGCAGGCTCCATGCTGTCAGCACAGAACCTGACCTGGGACTTGATCTCACGAACTGTGAGATCATGACCTGAGCTGAAATCAAGAGTCAGACACACAACCAACTGAGCCACTCAGGTGCCCCTCAAATAGCTAGAACTTCTATATACTGGTGTCCTGATATAGCCCGTGCTCTTGAATTACAACGGGTTTTCCATTCTTATTACAATCACAGGAACTGCTGGAACACTAAACACTCTCTTTAAGATTTGTTATCCCTGAAGATTTTTGTTATGCTGGTAATGCTCTGTTGCAAGGAAAGAAAACCTACCCTAAACTTGCTTGAACAACAACAAAGAAACACAACAGAACAAAAACAAAGCTAAATGTATTGGTTACTGGAATCAAAAAACCCAGATGTATTTCTAGCTTCAGATATGATTTAACGCAGTTGTTCAAACAGAAGATTCCAGGGTGATTGCTCTTCAACTATGATTCCTCTTTGACTCTGTTAACTTTATTCTGTCTCCACAAGAATCTAAGACTTCCTCTCCACTGTAAGACTAAGGAAAAAAAGAAGAGCATTTCTTCCTATTAATTCTTACCAAGTCCTGGGGCTCTAACTGGACCATTGTGGGCGAACTACTGACATCTGAACCAATAACTATAGCTTAGGGGAAGGTATCTGTGGCCAGGCCTGTGTCACACATCCCACTAGAGTGGAAGATGAAATCCAAAAGGAAATTTAGTGTACTATTACCAGTAAAAGGGGGTGAAAAATTCTGGGAGGCCAAAATGACAAATGTCCAGGACAGGTTTCTCTCCAGGGTAGACATGTTCATGATGACCTAGCTTGGAAGAAGTCCTAAAGGTTTTTTCATACTTGACACACTCATAGGGTTTCTGGCCAGTATGGATTCTTTGATGCTGAAGAAGATTTCTTTTGCTAGTGAAGACTTTTCCACACTCAGCACATAAAGAGGAAGACTCCTGAATATGGATCCTTAGATGCCTTTTTAATTGTTCCTGAGCACTAAAGCCTTTTCCACAATCTACACAGTCAAAGCGTTTCTCTATACTGTGGACTCTCTGGTGCCGAGTTAGTTTCGTATGAAAATTGAAGGCCTGCCCACATATTTTACAAGAATAAGGCTTTTCCCCTGTGTGAATACGTTGATGTTGGCTAAGATGAGAAGTCCTTCCAAAGCTTTTGCCACATTCATTACATTCATAGGGTTTCTCTCCAGTGTGGATTTTTTGATGTCGAAGCAGTGGTGAATTACCAACAAAAGCTTTTCCACACTCATTACACTCATAAGGTTTCTCCCCAGTGTGGATTCTCTGATGTATAACAAACTCAGAACTACTAGTAAAACTATTTCCACACTCTCCACAGAGATAGGGTCTGTCTCCACTGTGGATTCTCTGATGCCTGATCAGATTTGCATTATCATTAAAGGCTCTTCCACATTCTTCACACTGATAGGGTTTCTCTCCAGTGTGGATTCTCTGGTGCCGGATTAATGAAGAATTGCCATTAAAGGCTTTTCCACACTCATTACACTCAAAGGGTTTCTCCCCGGTGTGAATTCTCTGGTGTCTAACAAAGTAAGAAAAATAACTGAAGCATTTCCCACACTCCTCACATATGAAGGGTTTCCTTGCACAGTGGATTCTTGGAGCCTTTCCTTTAATATTTTTTACTGTGGAGATTTCCTGGTGTTTCTCCAGTTCACTGGTTTCTAGCAAGTTGGTTCCCTGAAGAACACTCTTCTGCAAACCATGTGACAACATGACATCTCTTTCTTCAGAAATTCCCTGTGTTGATGTGGACTCACTGTTAATGTTGGTCTCAGTATCTAACATAACAGAAAACACAAATGCCACCTGAGAATTATGCTAGAAACAAACTAACATCAAAAATTATAGGGCCTTTAAAACAAACAAACAAACAAACAAATAAACAAAAAATAAATTATAGGGCCTTTAGAGATTACAATTCCAACCCCCACATCGGACTGTTAGCAAGAACAGGCTACTAAAATAAAAGTGCCAAGTATCACACAGAGAACAGTTGAGGAGAAACAGGGTATTGGTATACACAGCACACATTAGATTGCTTCCTAAGCTTTTCCAGACTCCATATTTTTTTAATGACTTCTCTCTAGTGTGTTTAATCTTCTGACCTTATCATAGTAATAGGCCTACAAAATATCAAAGGCAAAGGGCCCAAGAGCAAGTGGTGACCCTGGGGCTAGCAAGTACAAGAGAACAGAGTCAGGATACAAAGGTGATGCATGAACTGTTCTTTTAAAAAATTCATACCCTGCAAATGTCCCAAAAGACTGGAGACACTGAGCATTAAAGGCACTAGGCTGTGGCAAGACAAAGAAAAAAATCACACTCAGAGGTTCTTAACTGCAGGACATCACCCCTAGAAGTTATTAACTGCAGGTCCATAGATGTCAATGAATACCCCAAAACTGCTGACAATTCCTGTCTTGTCATCAGACTCTCACAAAAGTCTGAATCTCAAAAATGCAGAGATTTTATATGGAAAGAATTCAGTTTACTTAGATACATCAAGACTGCAGAGCAGTCCTTCTCATATTAGCAAAAGAAAGAGAAACAGCCACCTATAAAATGGCATTTGTGTTCCAAAAGACTGGATGCCATTTTACCTAAGTTAAAGTCAATCTATTTTATACAAAATGTTAGACTAATTTTAACATTAATCTGGGTTATCTGGGACTCATCTGCTCATTAATCAAGTTCATCCTTTGAGTGTGAGTTAAACAAGTAAGAACCCTTAAGAGGAAAGCAGTGGGAGAGGAGATGTCAGAGACTGAAGCAAATGGGAAAACCAGTAGTCTGGAAAAGGGTGATCATGACAATGGAGATCTGGTGGTCTGCTCTCATACCCTGCCTCCTTCTTGCTATAAAACCAGGACTGAGCAATCAATGACCAAAACACTCTATTTTCCTGCTACCTCATACTCTGCAATTCATCTGGATCAAGTTCCCCATAGCAGTTCTTCTAAGCAACCACATTCCTAGGTCTCTAGCCATTACCCCCACCTTCCTGCTGAAAGAACACAACTGCCCAGATGCAGTGGCCTCAATGTCTTTCCCTTCCATTTCCACACCCACTAGTCCCAAGCCATCCACTGCCCTCTCAAGTCACACTTCCCAGTCACCCCAATGCCATGTCTTCCCCTTCCCCTGCTACACTACTCTACCAGCTATATCATCCCTCCTTTTCATCACCAACTTCCTTCTGCAGATCCTCAAATCCACTTGACCTGAACAATCTTCCCTTCACATCCAGCTTTTCTTATAGTAGTGTTTAATCAAACTGCCTACTCATTAGTTGAGAAATTGACATCGTGTCAATTTTTTAAATGAAATTCATTTTTTAAATGAAAACAATTTTTTAAATGAAATACACTAGCCTAACATAGAACAGTATTCACGTACATTGCAATGCCAAGGTAAATGTTGTTTCTTGATACTCCAGTCTCAGAGTACATAGTGAGGGTTTTGATGTAAAATGTAATACCCCATGAGGCTCATAATAAAAAAAAAGTTTGACAAACATTTGATATACTTATATTCCATTTCTAAACTTACCAAAATAAACTTATCTAAAGTGCTGCCTCAATTTTGTCATCTCCTACTCCCTCCCTCTGTGCAAAATACCTATCCTGAAACTCCTACCTCTGGCTTCAATTCCATGTTCCCTCATAGGGACCCTCCTCTGCCTATTTTCTCTTCCCTCTCTCTCAACAAAATTAAATAACCCTTAACATTTAAGATTCAGCCCTTTGTTCTCTCTGGGTGTCATTTCAATTAAAACTCTGGTAGAGTACACTTGCATCTACATCTGTAGACCTGACCTTTATCTCAGACTCTACACTTGCCTTCTCCATGGCCTGCTCTGGCCATCCACTTATACATATTCTAAAGGAACCTCAGACTCTACGCTCACATCTGAATTCACACGAATTAAAAAGCTCCTTTTATGTCATGACTTCCTAGTGTTATCTGAGTCAACTCTCCTCTTTGATGACCAAGTTTTGATAAGATCTGGTCGATTGTAGCTCCACACATACTCTTTCCTCTTTCATTTTTTTTTTTTTTTTTTAACTTTTTAAGTAGGTTTCATGCCCAGCACAGCACCCAACACAGGGCTCAAACTCATGACCCTGAAATCAAGACCTGAACTGAGATCAAGAACTGGACGCTTAACCCACTGAGCCATGCAGGCACCCTTCCTTTTCCATTTTTGCAGTGCCACTATCCCCTATCCAATTCACTCACTCAAAAGTTAACTCTTGACATATAGTAATAGTTTAATAAGATTTTATTCCTTCAATTTCTTTCAGACCAATCCAAAGCACATACTATGTTAATACTTTGCAAATGCAACCAAATATGGGCCTGTGTCACTAGAGGCAAAGTCACTGTGACAGGGGTCACTGCTCCTGCTGCATGATTGGTTTTACCTGCTCTGTCATTTCCTATTCCCGTGCCCTAAGTTCTTTAGGATAGAGCCCTCAGGTCCACCACAAACTCTGCAATCTATATTTTTCACACAAAGTTCAATGGGTAAGACACCCCACTATATTCATCTCCATTGCTGGCTGAGTAAAGGGGGTGAGGGTATACTGTAAACTGCCAGCCCCAAATTCTAGGAAGTCTCGCTTAGGTTTGAGGTCTAAACCTCAGGCTCTTCCACTGCTTACTAGGATAGACAAATATTCCAGAAATACCCATTTTAAAATATGCTCCCCACTGGGGCACCCGGGTGGCCCAGTCGGTTAAGCATCCAACTTTGGCTCTGGTCATGATCTCACAGTTTGTGCATACAAGCGCCACGTCAGGCTCTATGCTGACAGCTCAGAGCCTGAAGCCTGCTTCAGATTCTGTGTCTCCCTCTCTCTCTGCCTCTCCCTGCTTGTACTCTGTCTCTCTCTCTCTCTCTCTCTCTCTCTCTCAAAAATAAACAAACATTAAAAATAAATAAATAAAATTAGATTAAATATGCTCCCCCGGTGATTGTCCTGCATGTTAAACTGCAAAATTCTTCACAATGATTTACTGGATCCTCTATTGCTTTTCTCAAGCCAGATAATCCACCTTCTTTTTTTCCACGTGGGATCCACTGTAAGAAGTCAAATTTGGCACATACAGCCTGCCACGGAAGAAGCTTACCCGAGCTTCTACATGGGAATTCCTCCAAGTTCTCCTTCTGCTGTGCTCCCACAGCCCACTACTACATACCAACACCAGTACTTAACACATTTTCCCCCCAGCTCTTTACATCTGTCTCCATAGCATGTATCATCCAGAACTTCTTTTTTTTTTTTTTTTTTAAATTTTTTTTTTCAACGTTTTTATTTATTTATGGGACAGACAGAGACACAGCATGAACGGGGGAGGGGCAGAGAGAGAGGGAGACACAGCATCGGAAACAGGCTCCAGGCTCCGAGCCATCAGCCCAGAGCCTGATGCGGGGCTCGAACTCACGGACCGTGAGATCGTGACCTGGCTGAAGTCGGACGCTTAACCGACTGCGCCACCCAGGCGCCCCGTATCATCCAGAACTTCTTAAAACAAAGCTTGGCACACGGCAAGTGCTGAAAACTGCCCTTGAACAAATCCATCCTGTCCAAAGAAGGAGGACTACTAAAACGGGAAATGCTGAAACTCAGAAAAGAGTAATGGATTCAAAAATTGCATGAAATGATTAAGAGGAATTTGTTATCTTGATAAGAGTTAAAATTAATGGGAAAAGTTTCATATTATTACCTATTAGGAGAAATAATCCATTTTATTTAAATCCTTCCCAGCATGGTTCATTTTAAAATACACTGCTCTCTCAAGCTCTATAGGTGCCTGTTCTCAACTGCCTCGCTTACCTTCACAGAGGTCTTTGGTCCTCTCTGCAGATAGGTTATCCTGTGCCTCTAGGCCCCATGGCAAATTCCCTGCCTCCAGAAGCGAGATCAGGGCAGGTCTGGGAACTTGATATCCTGAAAAGGGGAGAAAGTGGTACCTTTCAGACATATGTCTGCTGTGTCAATATAAGGAAAACCCTAAGAGCCTCCATAAGAGTAAGATCTGCAGAAGAGGGCTCAGGATTGGGGAAAGCCAAGATTCTGATAAAGAAGAAACTGAGCATTTATGACTCTTCCTACTCAAGAGTAGGTAAGTTACTGAGATCCTACAAGACATATATGTAAACACAGGGAAGGGGTCACACCCTTCCCTAGACGAACTAAGAATTTAACTCTGGCAATGGAAACTACGTATTCCTTACTGCACAAAGCCCCTGGGAGGATGGGATGTACTCTTACCAGGGGATAGCAATTCCATACATTGGGACCAAACTGATCCAAGATCTCTCCCTATCTACCAACCTTTGAAGTGGGTCATTCAGTCTCAGCCCTGGAGCCACACACTGGAGGATACCAGAGACAACCACTCCCTCTCCACACTGCACACCCAGCCTATTAGGAGAAAACAAGGAAGGAAACAGGAAAGCATACACCTGAGTCCCAGGAGGAAAGCAACCTTACCCAGGGATGTCAAGTTCCCATAATTCTCCAGCATCACACTTCTGTACAGGGCCTTCTGTCCAGGAGAAAGACCAGTCCATTCTGTCCCAGTGAAGTAGACAGCCACGTCCTCAAAGGTCACCACCTCCTACAACAAGAAGTTCCTGCTGCCCCAGAGCCAATTCTCTGACTCGGCCTGGGTACAATATGAGGGAGGGGTCCTATTAGGGATGACTAATGAGAAAAAGTGAAAGAACTGGATGTTAGACCATTAAATAACTTTCTACAACCAAAAACCTAAAACTGCTCTAACAGAAGAGCTTGCACTAGAACATAAATTGTACTATTATAAAACACAGTAACATTTCAAAAACCTTAGAAAGCTTCCCATCAATTGAGCTTCCTAAAGCAGTTTCTTTGGTTTTGTAACTACTTTTAATCTTTTATTGTTATACCTACAAATGGACATTAGCTTCAATCGGTCTAGACACCCACTCACAGGTGGCATGTCAGGACCTCTTTTCCCCTTCACTGCCTCAGTGCCCAGCTAATCCATGTGTTCCCAGATGTGTTCATTCTGTCCCAAACCTCAAGCCTACATTAACAAGAATAATTTCATGGTTTGCTCTGATGAGCCATTCTCATCTAAGCCCCATCTGTGCTTGAAGAACTATCCTGCCTGTGCTCAAGAACGTCCAGCAGAGAAAGCTTAGTGCCGCCTGGAGCAGTCTATTCTGACAGACTTCCTGATGTGTCTTCCTGGGAGAATATACTTCTGGAATCAAATTGCTTCTGGGCAGCTCTTTTAGCTGCTTTTCTTTATATCTCCAAGACAATCTATAATAGCTTCTACCAGCCAAGTCTCATGATTTTTCAACAGCCCCAGTTTCCCTTCTCTGATGGCCCTGAGGCTCTATCTTCCCAGAAAGTTCTAGCATCTGGTTTATTTTTTTTTCAACGTTTATTTATTTTTGGGACAGAGAGAGACAGAGCATGAACGGGGGAGGGGCAGAGAGAGAGGGAGACACAGAATCGGAAACAGGCTCCAGGCTCTGAGCCATCAGCCCAGAGCCTGACGCGGGGCTCGAACCCACGGACCGCGAGATCGTGACCTGGCTGAAGTCGGACGCTTAACCGACTGCGCCACCCAGGCGCCCCTAGCATCTGGTTTAGATCCTCTCTATACTCCTCAGACTTTGGTATCAAACTGGTTACCTAAACATGCAAAGAATATCCTCCCACCTTCTTATGCCTCAACTGATTCTGTGGATCCCCACCTTCCACTAGTCCCAGCACTGCCTCAGACTCCCTGGTGACCTAATATGTCTGACCCACCAACTACACCAAATTTATCTTCAAACTGAAACTGGCTCCTTTTCTAAATCATATAAACTAATTGGCACAATGAGCAACAATTTTGTTTCCCTACCTCAGTTAATGGTACCAATCTCAGCCCAGACTCCACTGCAAACTTGAGATTTCACCTAGACTAACTCGCCCCCAATCACTGCTCATTTCTGGCATGCAGCTGGTAATCAGATCCTGCCAGTTTCACCACCGAAATATTTCTACAGTCCAACTCTTCTTCACCATCACACAATCAGTACACGAGTTCAATAGCTGGGGGACACTTAAACAGCTCCAATTCCAGGCTGTCCTGCACTGAATCCATCCTCTGCCAGCACATAAAATCATCAATTTAAAATGGCTCAGGTCATGATCTCACAGTTCATGAGTTCGAGTCCTGAGTCAGGCTCTGTGCTGACAGCTCAGAGCCTGGAGCCTGCTCCAGATTCTGTGTTTCCCTCTCTCTCTGCCCCTCCCCAGCTTGCACTCTCTCTCTCACTCTCTCTCAAAAATAAACATTAAAAAAAAAATTGTTTTAAATGACACCCTGGGGGGCGCCTGGGTGGCGCAGTCGGTTAAGCATCCGACTTCAGCCAGGTCACGATCTCGCGGTCCGTGAGTTCGAGCCCCGCGTCAGGCTCTGGGCTGATGGCTCAGCCTGGAGCCTGTTTCCAATTCTGTGTCTCCCTCTCTCTCTGCCCCTCCCCTGTTCATGCTCTGTCTCTCTCTATCCCAAAAATAAATAAACGTTGAAAAAAAAAAATTTTAAATGACACCCTGGGGTGCCTGAGTGGCTCAGTCAGTTAAGCGTCCAACTCTTAATTTAGGATCAGGTCATGATCTCCCGGTTCGTGAGTTTGAGCCATGCATTGGGCTGTTTGGACAGTGTGGAGCCTGCTTGGGATTCTTTCTCTCCCTCTCTCTCTGTTCCTCCCCCAATTTGCGGTCTCTCTCTCTCAAAAATAAATGAACTTAAAAAAAATTTTTTTTTTCAACGTTTATTTATTTTTGGGACAGAGAGAGACAGAGCATGAACGGGGGAGGGGCAGAGAGAGAGGGAGACACAGAATCGGAAACAGGCTCCAGGCTCTGAGCCATCAGCCCAGAGCCCGACGCGGGGCTCGAACTCACGGACCGCGAGATCGTGACCTGGCTGAAGTCGGACGCTTAACCGACTGCGCCATCCAGGCGCCCCCAAAAAAATTTTTTTAATGATAACCTGACCCAGTCAACTCAATGACTTAATGAGTCACCACTAACCATAACAGTGGTTCTCAAAGTGTGATTCCCAGAGCAGCAGCAGCATCAACTGAGAACTTTTTGGAAAGCAAACTGATAGGCCCCACTGGAGAGCATTTCTGCTTCAATGAGCCCTCCAGGTAATTCTGGAGCACACTAAAATTTAAGAACCCAGGACGAGAGGATAAAGTCCAAGCTCAGGAAACTGAACTGCATCAGGTGACAGGCAGACAGTGAGAAGGAGGCACAAGACTGTACACAGAGAAACTAACTGGAATGCTCTGCTGATAAAATTCCAGAGAAGGAATGACAAACCCTGAAAGATGGAAATACAAAATAAAGGACAAGTGGAAGAGATAGCAGGCAGAAGGAGCTGGACTTGGTGCCTCTCTAGAAGTGGTATCAAGGGAGAATAGGGTCAACAACTGCTCAGCAATCCGGAAACTGAGTGGTCAGGACAGTGATATGGTGGTACCAGTGACTCACCAGTACTTACAGAAGATCAGAAGAGGGTGGAAACTATATGGAAGATACTGTTTGGATTAAAGTCAGGGAGAGGGACTTGCCAGATGTCAGAAATCCAAGACTGGGACTTGGGATATGCTTCATGGATGCTAAGTCACTGGATAAGTAAATCCCAGGATCAGGAGATGGTAAAGCAACGCAGCAACTCACCAGTCCAAAAGTGAACCACAACTCAAGAAATCAATTTCCTAGTCCCACAAATGTAAGGTACTTAATGTTCACTTTACAGATGAAGTCTGTTAAGACACAAAGAGTTTAACTGATTGGCTCAAGACCACCGAGGCCCGATGGGATTCCCGAAATTCAGGTGACCTGCCCTAATGCAGATTTGACCTAGTGCAGATTTTCCGTATCATAGTCTGCTGCTGCCTCACCTTAGTCAGCAGCACTGACCTTAAGGAGGATATATTTTCCTTGATTGTAAAGCCCAAACTTCTTTAGAAGGACAAATACTATAGACCCCCTCTTCTTATCTTCCTCCTACCAGCCCTCTTCTCCCACCTCCTAAGAATCTTGCAACTTCATCGATCTCGATCACTCCTACTAACAGTGGATACTTCTACCATCAGCCCAAGTCCCTCATTCTCACAGATCCCTCCTTTGTGGTCCCTACTGAACCAGTTCAGCAGAGATCCTTGGAGTACAGGAGGCTGTACTTCTGATTCCCTGGACACTTTCTCCAGCCAACGCTTGTAGGACTCCTGGCTGCTCAGCCCCTCACCATCAACTTTCTCCCCAACATTCAGTCCTACTAGAAAGACTCAAGAGGTACTTTCCCGCTGATTTGGTTCTAAGAGTCTTGCCAGAATTATCCCTCTCATAACCCATTTCCTTCAGATTAGATCTCTCGAAGGTTGACCTGAGGGAGTCATAGCTCACCTGGTGCCAGGAGTTCAGGGGCATGGCTGCCATCACCTGGGCTCCCTCTCAGTGAAGGGCAGAGGCTGAGGGAAGAAACAAAGAGAACCATGAGTGAGCTTGGCCCAGTCAAAGGCTCTCCTTTAAACCAACAAACCTGCTTGCCAGTAATAATACCAGCCATCATTTACTGAATGCCCACTGGGTAAGTGGCATATATTTCTTCTTTCAATCCACACTATACAATGAAGTTTGAATGCTGAGGAAACAGATTTTGAAAGAGTAAGTAACTTGCCCTCAGGCACCAGAGCAATGCTGCCTGTCCTGCATAAGACATGAGTACAGGGGGAATAGGAGTACACACAAGCAAGAAACAAACAAACAAACAAAAAACCCCAAAGAAACAAACAAGTAAGCAAACAAACTAAAGCAAAACCTAACAAGAGGAAAAGGAAACCCAGACCTTTATTTTTTAAAAATAAACTTTTACTGAGAAACATAACAAGTTAAAAAAATAAGTTTTGGGGCGCCTGGGTGGCGCAGTCGGTTAAGCGTCCGACTTCAGCCAGGTCACGATCTCGCGGTCCGTGAGTTCGAGCCCCGCGTCAGGCTCTGGGCTGATGGCTCAGAGTCTGGAGCCTGTTTCCGATTCTGTGTCTCCCTCTCTCTCTGCCCCTCCCCCGTTCATGCTCTCTCTCTATCCCCCCCAAAAAATAAATAAATAAAATAAGTTTTGGATGTAAAATACACATCCCTTCATTCAGTCTTCACTATAATCCTCTGAATTTTCTTCTCCCCAAATGAGAAAACAAGGCTAAGAGAATAATTCTCTCTACCAAGGTCACAAGGTGGTGGATGAATGAATTTGGATTCCAAACCAGATCTGTCAGAATTCCAAAGGCCATGTTCAGTAACTACATTAAATCACTTCCCATCATAATCCCAAGAGGATTTCTTTTAAAACCTGATAAAGTGATTCTGAAGTTAATATAGAAGGATAGAGTCACCGAGAAAATTCAGAAAAAGAATCAAAGGGGAAGTCTTCCTTTTCTTGGACCTTGGGGCAGGCATCTTTTTGCTCATCACTCCATTCTGGGACCCAGTGATTACCAAAACTCATTAGCAAAGGACCCTGAAAGGCCACCTCAACATGCAAAATGTCTGGGTTATTATTTTAGTTGTATCCCCTACAGACACTGTATTCTTGCTAAGCGGTCATATTCTGCCCCAAAACCAGCATGTTCCCTAACTTCACTGCATGCTGTAATTTCCTGCTGGCCTTACATTATGCCACCCTTCTTGATTTAGCCATTCTGGCCTTCTTTCCGTTCCCTCTACGATGCTAACTCGGGATCTTTATACCTGCTGTTGTCTCTGTATGAACTACTCTGCTCCAACCTTAGGATCTTTTTAACGGATACTCTCTGCCTAGGATACTCTCCAGCAGCCTGACCCTTCCCGCAGGTAATGCCAGGTCATCCTTCACATCCTCTACACACCAAGTCAGCTCCCCATGTTAAACACTCCACTCATACTTTGTTCGCTTTCCTGTATACCACGTCTCCCAGATAGAGATTATACTCTTGCATTGATTTGTGCTTTCTTCACTCAACATGGTGAAGACTTCATTCATTATGGTAGACTTCATTCATTCCAGGCCAAGTGTGAGATATAGTGGAGACAGGGGAAAAGGGTGTAACCCCTTTTGTCATGGAGCTGTCTGAAGGAAAGGCACACATTAATCAACGAATCTCATAAATAAGATCATAATTGTGATTACTGCCCGGGGAATCTATCCTAGACGGGTACATTTAGGGATAGGAATTAACTAGGTTAAAAAAACAAAAAAAAAAAAACAAAAAAAAAAAAAAAAAAAAAAAACAAAAAAAAAAAACAAAAAAAACATGTTCTGGAGGTGAATGGCCAGGAAGGCCGTAGCAGAGCCGAGGAGAGTGTGCTGCAAAACGAGCGGATACAAGTCGCATAAGAGGACGCCATGCAGGGCGTTAGTCTTCGACCGAAAGGCAACCGGCCGCAGCCAGTGGGTTACAAACAGAGTGAACTGGTCAGATTTAATGACTACGTGACTCCCATTAAACGGAAAGCTCCCTGAAGGCGGAGCCCACGCTGGTGTCCCCTACAACTGCATCCCGGGAACCCCGAGCACCAGCTGGCCTTCGGCTGCTAGGTCAGGAGTGGCTGGCCCAATGAGCAGGGCTCTACAGCTGCGTCTGGCGCACGGGGCGTCTCTTTTCCAACCACCGCCTCCTTGTCCCAGAGCGGGCGCCGCGGGCCGGGGCGAGCGACGGCACCCGAGCGAGGGCGGCGCTGGCCCGCGAGCGGCCTTCACTGGCCTCCTCCACGGCTTCAGGGACCAAGGCGGCAGCCTCCTCCGGCGGTGACGGGAGCGCCGCTAGCGGAGACGACCGGGCGAACGAACCCACCACTCACCTCAGAAAAGGCGCAATGTGCGGCGTGACCGGAAGCGCGTCACTGCGGGGCCGCCGGGCCCGCGCCTCACGTGCTTCCTCTCTAGGAAGCCAGAGCGCGCCGCTCAGTGGTTCTCTGGCTTCACACCCCAGGCCGGGCGGGCGGGCGCGGCTGGGACCGCGGTCCTCGGAGACCCGGAAAAGGAGAGGCAGCTAGCTGACTGGGGTTTTCCCTGATCTCTAATCGAAATGTAGCATTTCCTTCAATTATGTGTTGGCAACAAACCCCAGTACCATCAGCAGGACCGTGCCTTTGTCACCAATAGAAATCACAGATACTTTCATATCACCTCACAGTTGATGCAGATATCTCAAAATACGAGCTATTCTCTTCTTTAATTCGAAATACCGTCGTTGTTATTAGGGCTCACCTTTAGATCTTGTCATTTGATTTCATCACAGTGGTAGAGACACGTATATTAATTACTGTATCACAGGTTTATTTTTTAAGCCATTTAACTGTATTTTAATATAACTAGTTTCAGAGTGGTCCACAAATGTCATCTCACTGCCAAAGAAGTAGTAAAGCCAAAAAACCAACCAAACTAAAAAAAAACACCTGTCCTCCTTAGGGGTAAAGATCCAGTCACATTAAGAAAGACCAGGACTGTGAAGAAGGGATACTACTGCAGAACTGTTTAGGAAGTGAAAACAGTGGAGATTTTTTAAAAGATTGAATAAGATATGAGGGAGAGTGAGCAATCGATAATAGCCATAAAGTTGGCTTGACCTGATAGAGGAAGGTGTCATTAACTGAGATTTAGTTAATTCAGTAATTCAGGAAGTGGAGCTGCAAGAAGACTACCGAATTCGGTTTTAGAAATACTGAATACACATACACACTTGGTTTTATTAAAATGTAATTCACATCCCATACTAATTCATCCATTGAAAGCACAAACGACACTCAATAGTTTTTGGTATATTCACAAAATTGTACAACCATCGCCACAATCAATTTTAGAACATTTTCATCATTCCCAAAAAGAAACTCCATAACCATCAGCATTAGCATTCATTTTCCATTTTCCCTGGAATAGGCAGAATAATGTTCCCATCAGGGGCACCTGGGTGGCCTGGTATGTTAGGTTACGTGACAAAGAAGCATTAAGGTTGCAGATGGAATTAAGATTATCAGCTGATTTTAAAATAAGATTATCCCAGGCCACCTGGGTGGCTCAGTGGGTTAAGTGGACAACTCTTGGTTTTCCCTCAGGTCATGATCTCATGGTTCATGAGTTCAAGCCCCACATCAGGCTCTAGGCTGACAGCATGGAGACTGCTTAGGATTTTCTCTCTCTCCATCTCTCTCTGCTCCTCCCCCTCCCCCACATGTGCTCGTGAGCGCTCTCTCTCTCTCTCTCTCTCTCTCAACATAAATAAGCATTAATAAATAAGTAAGATAAGATTATCCTGGATTATCCAGATGGGCCCAATGTGATGAGTCCTTAAAAGTGGGAGAGGTCACTGGAAGAGAGAACCACAGAGGGGACAGAGAATGAGAAACTAGTCTTATCATTACTGGCTTTGAAGCTGGAGGAAAAGAGCCATGAATCAAGAAAACTAGGTGATCTCTAGAAACTGCAAAAGTCAAGAAAATAAAGTCTCTTCTGGGGTGCCTGGGTGGCTCAGTTGGTTAAGCATCTGGCTCTTAGTTTCAGCTCAGGTCACAATCTCACAGTTTGTGAGTTCAAGCCCCACATCGGGCTCTGTGTGGGCTCCACATTGACAGTGCAGAGCCTGCTTGCGGTTCTCTCTCTTCCCCTCTCCCTTTTTCTCTCTAAAAATGAACACTAAAACAAAGAAAACAAAGTCTCTCCTTAGCCAACACTTTGAATTTAGCCCCATGAAACCCATTTTGGAATTCTGACTTCTAGAACTGTAAGATAAATTAATAAATAGAATAAATGTGTGTTGTCTTAAGCCACCATTCATGGTAATTTGTTATGCTAGCAACATAAGATTAACACATCCCCAGTGTGAGGTCTTCCTCCATTCCTAGACAACCACTCATCTACTTTCTGACTCTACAGAAAGACTTACCTATTTTGGGCATTTACATCATGTAAATATCCATTAAATCTGGACATAAAACAAAAAAAGTCTATATTGGGAATGCAAGCTGGTGCAGCCACTCTGGAAAACAGTATGGAGATACCTCAAAAAACTAAAAATAGAACTACCCTACGACCCAGCAATTGCACTACTAGGCATTTATCCACAGGATACAGGAATGCTGTTTCGAAGGGACACATGCACCCCAATTTTTATAGCGGCACTATCCACAATAGCCAAAGTATGGAAAGAGCCCAAATGTCCATCGATGGACGAATGGATAAAGAAGATGTGGTATATATATATACAATGGAGTATTACTCGGCAATCAAAAAGAATGAAATCTTGCCATTTGCAACGACGTGGATGGAACTGGAGGATATTATGCTAAGTGAAATTAGTCAGTCAGAGAAAGACAAAAATCATATGACTTCACTCATCTGAGGACTTTAAGAGACAAAACAGATGAACATAAGGGAAGGGAAACAAAAATAATATAGAAACAGTGAG